TTTTGGCTTTGTGATTTTTGATTAGTTTTTTTCCAGCTTGGACAGTTACGCTTTATGTGTCCTTCTTTGCCACACTTGTAACATCTCCATGAACTCTGTCTTTCAGCTCCCACTACTTTTGAATGGTCCTGCATTTCTCTGTGAATTTGTGTTGACATGGCTGATGCACCACCTGATGTAGCAGCTCTGTAGTCATCATTAACAGTGACTCTTTTTTGCTCTTCATTGATTAATACTTGCTGAACAAACTGCAATGTCAAATTGTCCATCTTAGTTTCGAGAGCAGTTACAATCGTAGCATAGCTTGGTGGTAAGCTACCCAGGAGTGTTACAATCTGATCTTCCTCTTCAATTATAGCACCTATTGCTCTTAGCTGATCAGTCAGTTCCTTCATTCGTTTTAAATGGTCATTTAAGCTGTCCTTTTCTTTCATTTCACATCTGAAATATTTCTTCTTCAAGAACAGTTTATTTGCTAAAGTGTCTCTCTCAAAATGTCCTTTTAGCATGTCCCAAGCCTCTTTTGGAGTTTGACAGCTTGTTATTAAATATAACTGGGGTGTACTCACATTTAGCACTAACATGGAAAATGCTCTTTCTCTCCGTCTCTCCAATTCCACCTGCGCTTGTGCGCTAGCATCTGGAGTTAGCATATCCGTCTCCGTTAGCATGCCCCATAGTCCTTTAGCTTTTAGCAAATGCTCCATCTGAAACTTCCACGTTGCCCAGTTCTCTGGTCCGCTCAGCTTGTCGATAAACGTCTTATCATTCATTGTGAGTCCAACAATTCCGTTTATCTGACTCAAAAACCTTCACTTACTAAACTTACACACTGTAGCTTTAAACAAGTCATATGATTTAATAGAATTAAATAGAAAATCCCTTTATGGTCGCACAGGGGGGAAATTCTGGTGTTTACAGCAGCAAATAGACTATAGCAAAAAAGGTCACATAAATGTGGCGCTTAGAAAAAAGTATAAGAATAACAGAATAGTGAGGAGTTAAAAAATAAACAAATAAAATGCTCTACTGTTACGTGTTTTAATATAAATACTGTGCACCTGGAGAATAAATAACCAATATACAGCTGTGGACATTTTTACAGTAATGGATATTTGAAAATAGCAGCAACATCAGAGAGGTGTAAAATTACAGCATGTTATTTAACTGACTAAGGTAGAAACCGTGTAAAATCTGCATGAATGTAGCAACTTATTAAGGTTGTTGGGAACAGTGATTGTTATAAAGTCTTACAGCTGCTGGAGGGGAAGGATCTGTGATAACTCCCTGGTGCATTTAGGGTGCAGCAGTCTGTCACTGAAGGAGCTTTCCAGTTCTGCAACAGCATCATGCATGGGGTGGGAAACATTATCCAACAGGGATTTGTAATGCCTGCAGGTATACAAATAATCAGTATCAAATATTCTGGCAGATGAGCAGTACAGCACATTTCTTTTATCTGTGAAACATTGAGATGAAGCCTGCTCTTTTATCAATTTATTTCTTGTGACCAGAATTAGATGTTTTGTATAACCCCATATTGTGTTCTGAACTTTAATCCAATAGACACTCTGGAGGGAGTGAATAATAACTTTTAAAGGCAAAGTTTACCAATTGCAATGGCTTATGGAACTTTGCAAAAACAGAACTCTGGAAACAGGAGAAAAGCTGGTCATCAACAATGGAAAAGCGTTAGCTGTTATGACACCTTGCCTCAAGAACATTTTTGCAATAAAAGCTTAAGTGGAAAAATATATATATTTTCACCAGTAGTTAGACAACTTATTTTTTGAACCTTTGTTTGCTATGATCTCAAAGCAGATTGAAATAAACATTCTTTAATTTTACAATCTATCTCAAATTTAGTTATTTTAAGATTACAGTTCAGATTGTATACGTGAAAAAAACAAAGACGCAGTTAATCAAGCACAAAATATTTATTTCTCTCTCAACATACAGACTGTGATAAGAGTGCATCAGGACAGGGTGGGTAATGCAATGGGTCATACAGCAGGCAAAGCAATCTCACACAGTTCAAACACAGGCCAGTTAATGGAGCAGGATCCTGAGGGGCAGGTTCTCCCAGACAATAGAAAGATGTGCAAGGATGCTCCTCTGTGCACTTTCAACTACCCCACTTAATCACGGCCTCCAAATATGCACCAGTATTGGTTACCTCCTGCCATGCTCTGCATGAGCTAGCAGGTAGGAAAAATAGAACATACAAGATACAGGTGACAGAGAACAGAAATCTCTTACTATTGGAAGTATATCACCAAAGCAGAAGACTCTGCATAATATCCTACAAAAATTCCAATTCAAACCGAATTGATGGAGTAATATACATTAAAGCCCCCCACCCACCCTTTACGTTTAAGAGTCAAAATAAAATGTACAAATACAAGCTACAAGAAAACAAACAAAAAATGTACAATTCACAGCTTTGGCAGGACTGGGGTTGTGCAGGTGTTAAATGTCTAACCTTGCATTTATACCATTTCTAAAGATGAAATATTGGCCATGCTCATCAGTGATGAAACCCCACTAAATATATACGGTGTAGGAACTCCTATCACAGAGGGATAATTGGAGACCATACGTTGTGCAAATTTCTGACATCAAGTTTTAGTTTAACGTTGCAATGCATCACTAAAAATAAATGCAAAGAAAATTAAATAGGCTGTTATGAAAGAACAAAAAAAAAAAACAAAACACAACACCAGAACTTTAACAAGGCAATAACACTGCTTTATAAGCATCTCTAATGTACCATCAATCAAAGAAAAAAGGCAAAATGTACAGCAAAAATTACCTTAATGAATAGCAGCATTAAGAAAAAAATGTTAAGACATCAAAAAGTTAAAACATCTGATTTAACTAGTGATTGCACATATTCTACATACAGTGTATGCCGAGTACTACGTAAGGTAAGAGAACATCAAGCTGTGAAAAAGGAATGGTTTACTGGGTAGCTTGTAATTGTGATGATTTGTCATCTGGTAACTTCTCACTGTTATTTGGTGAATTTGAAATTTGTTCAACCTTTCAGCTTGCTCCTCTTGTACACACAAGATAAGGCTTGTGGCAAGGCCACGATAAAAGCTTTGTGGAAAGTAGTTGAATTGCACTTTTGAGCCTCAAAAGAAAAATAGTAAAAATTCACATTATTTGCTACATTCTGATTCACAAAACTCCCAGAAGCCTCTACTGTAGAAAGTTGCCTGTATGTAACTATATGGCTCTAGACACTGGCTCTCCTCTGCAACACTGGACGTTCCTGGGCTGTCCAATGAGCTGGTTCTTCAATCGGGGGAAAACAAAAAATAAAAAAGGAAAGAAGCTTTACCCAGCTGAACCATTTGACCTGAATTAAACGAAATAAGTCGGTTTGGACACGGCTTCGACCCCTTTTCTTATCATTCATATATTGGTAATTTGCTTCTGAAGGCTTCAGATCACCTCTCTGCTATGGCATTCCATTCATCAATTGGTTGGACTAGAAAAAGGAGCTATACCAACTTCTATGTTTAAATCAGATTATATGGTGTTATTAGTGCAGTTCAATAAGGGCATTTGTATGTAAACGGAAAAAAAAAACAATTAAAGGAAGCTACCTTTAAAAAAATAACTTGCATGCAAAAAATGCTTTGTTTTAAAGAAAATATAAAATATACAGAAGTAAATGTTCAAGGCACTACATTCCTGCAAAGAAGTTCATTTTATTAAATACTGTCCTTTCTCTGAATCTTAAGCCACTAGGTATTTGGATACTAATGTAGTGTATTTCAATAGAAAGGGAAACGTGACGATAAACAGGGTAAAACTGGTGATTGTGAGTGCAGATAAAATGCCTTGTATGGCTGAGTTAAGCTAGGAACAAAGCCAAATAAACAATAGGTATTTAAACATTACACATACTGTACAATATACACGCATACAAATACACAATTTATGACACATATATACGCTGCAGAAAGAATAGCAACACTTAGCCTGTTATTTACAGGATATTATTATGCACAGGGGTGGCTCTGGTGCACCCAGCACAGCAAACCATCTGTCCTGAGCACACACCAACACAGGATCAGGTAGTCCTAGTGGTTTTTGGGAAGGGCCCACTCTCAGGGTTGTGCACGACATAGGGGTAGGCCTGGATCCCTGGGTTTGAAATTGTGGCGTAGTGAATCGCTCTTGGAGCACCAAGCAACCTTACAGGAACCACAGAAGCAACAGGACTAGGCATGCCGGGCCACTGCTGCAAATAAAGAGGAGCTGAAGCCATCGCACCATACGACCCCGATGTAACAAAGTAACCAGCAGGATGCCCTGTAGAAGAACCTGGGGCGAGACTTGCAGGCATATTAGGGCCTAAAGCCGCAGCCTTTGGGAGTGGGAGCGGTAGCCCCAAGTTGTTTGGAACAAGGTTGCGTTTCATCTGAAAAAGAACGAAGGTAATTTCATGATTATTACACAGGTTTGACAAAGAATTAAAGAAATGTAAGACAACCCCATTTTATAACCACAGGGTCTTCAGACATTTATATGTCAAAACCTCCATTAGGAAAAAAAAATAATAATTACACTTGGAACCTCATCTTTAAACACTACTATGTGAATTACAACAACCAAATTTATTTCTCTTTATTTATAACTGAAAGTATTTTAGCTATTTGGACTCAAAATTGTAATATTTTAAAAGAAAATGGGATAAATGTCCATGCTTATTGGATATACCAGTAAAAATCTATTCCTTTTACATCCAGTTTCAGAATTGGACAACCAGATTAACATTTGTTTAAAAAAAAAAAAAATGTATTTTCTGGGGTCAACTACTCAATGCTTTCATTGGGAAGTTAGATATTTTCCAAAATAACAGTCACTCAGTGAACATCTATAAACCCTTTTTATTTCATTTTTCTTAGTGCTTATTGAAAATGTTTCATAGATGCCCATTTTCACCGTCACTGAGGTGCTTAACAATAAAGTTAGAGGCAAAAACCAATGTTTACTCTTTTCCAGCCATAAATGACTAAGCATGCTAATGCTAGCAGTGCTGGAAATAAGAATAATTACTGTTTTACTTGTAGCTGTATAAGAAAAGCTAGAATCCCCAGGTCATAGTTTCAAAAACCAGAGAATGGAAAACAGCAGTAAAACTCTAAACTGCTGCATCTCCAGATTATTTTTAAACACAAGAATTGAACATGACAGTCAGGGTTTTGTTTGGTTAACAAGAGCCCCCAAATTCGCCCCCCACCCGATCATCATTCCCACATCTCAAACCCAAATACCTCACATGCAACAGCCCCCATGCGTGCAGGTCTGCAGTCTGCTCCTTGTTGACGGCTCTGCCGTCTCATCCTGTTCAGGGGGGATCGTGGCCGATTGGCTGCCGCCGCTACAGTCTCCTTTGTCCAGTCATCCACCAGCTTATGAAGATCCTCTGTAAAGGTAGGCATCTTGTTGTTGCTGTTGTTAGTCTGGACCTGAGCGAGCCTCGTGAACGGCTGAGGAGATGTCGACTGTGTTGCTGCAGTGAGTGGTGGCTGCGTTTGGCTGGAGGTGGTCTGTGCAGCGGACGTACGGAGGGAAGACCCTAAAAAGAAACAAAAACTTTTAATCTTTCAACCAAAGAAATAACAGAACTAACAGATTAATTTGTTTTTGTCGTTATGGGAGAACTTAAAGTTATTCTTTGAAATAACCAGGCTAAATGTATACAGAGCCATGGACAATAATTTGCCAATCTAGCAAAAAAAACAAAAAAATAAAAAAGATGAAATGTTAGATATGCAAGCGGTGACAAATAATCCAATCAATGAACGTTTACATGCCATAAAAAAAAAAAAAATCCAGTGAAACAATAAGTAGTCAGAATATCCATGTGTTAAGCATACAGTATCACTTATTTAAACAGCCATAACAACAAGGACGAAATAATGTGGAAATAAAAAACAAAACAAAAAACAAAGACTAATGTTGTAGGGACATTTAGAAATACAGGGAAAAGAAGTAAATAAGATAGTTACTACTACTGCGCTCTTTGCCTAGACATAGTCGTTTCAGAGTGGACCCTATAAAAAGGTAAAACAGCACAAGACAGAAAGAGTTAGGCCAGGACACTGAACGCCAAAATGATGTGGACAAACTGCTTCAAAAGCACAATCAGCTATGAAATCAACGAGGAAGAGAGAAAGAGGAAAGGGGGATTTAATAATATATCTGAGTAAAAGTGGAAGACAGAGCCAAGATCTCCCTGTTAAACTGGATGATGCATTTAAATAGGAAAAAAGCTGCCTACCGTTTCATCTAGCTGGTAAAATTACTCTCAGGATGAAGACATTTAAGAGTTTGGAGATGAATGAAATTAATATTTAAGTGTTTTAAGTTCAGTATTAAACTATAAATAAAAATGTGGAGGTTTATAAATCATTTTACTTGTTGGTAGGCAGAAAGTGAATACGAACATTGTTTACTACCAAATGAAGAATGTACTGGGAAAAAAAAAAAAAAAAAAAAATCAGTGTCCAGAGGAGAACGCCTGTAGAACATGTTCTACCCAAATAAAACAGCACAAACTTAAAAAGCATAGTGCTAATTTTTAAAACTCATCAGCACAAAAAACAAAAAACAAAAAAAAACATGCAAATAACTCAGGGTACGTGACAAAGAAAAATAAATATTGATGATACAGCCCTTCATGTGGCGAAGCATGTCTCCATCAGTGCCCTGTCTGCCGCCTGCACCACTGCACCATGCACGTCTTCTCCATCCAAACATGAGGGACACAGAGCGCAAACGGCCCTGCCAACACTAGTGGACTGTGGAGGGATTTCATCTGAACGCACTGGAGTGCAGGCTAGGGCAAAGTGCCTTTACTTAAGGGATATTAAACAATCAAAATCAATAGTGGATGGACATACAGAAAAAATTAACAGGGTACACAAATGGATAATTTCTCTTGCACACACGGACACCTGTAAAAACAGTGCCCCTTATTTTGTATTAAATCTGACCTGCAGCCCATGTTTGGACAGGATAGGCTGTTAAGCAGCCTGAGTATCGGTGTGGTGTGTTTTTATCCAAGCCAAAAACACTCCATTAAGCAACTGTATGGAGAGAAGGAGGCACCATAGCCAAGTTATAATGATTAAGAATGGCTAACTGCTGCTTTTGAATTATGAATAACCGCAACGGTACAGAAGAACCATTAACTATAAAATACTCATTACATTGATGTTAACTGCAGCATAGCTGTTGAAACCCATACATGCAAAAAAACGAGAGCTAAGAAACAGCGACTTTGTGCTGAAATTAGAGTACAAAAACATATCAGCTATGAAGGTACAAAAGATGTCCCGTTAAAGGATGTTTAAATTAGTCCCAAACCAAATTGAAATCATGAAGCTCGCTTTAGCCACAGGAATAAATTATCCTTCCATTAAAAGATTTATCCAGTTCTAAGCTTAGAGACTTTAACTCTAGTGTTTTGGATTTTATCTTCAGAAAGCTACACTAGTTTAACACAACAGCTCTGAACATTACAGTAGCAGTTAACTATGTCCACTTCAGTTACAGCAGCATTTTAAGGCTGTAAAGATCAGTTTCTGCCATTAATAACTGCTGCAGCGTCATCAATGGTCAGTGAGTACAAGCTGGGACGTAATCGAGAGTTTTCAAGCAAATCCTTTATATTTTCAATCTGGGACTAAACATTACATTAGTATTAGGGAATAAAAATCCTTTTTTGGGACATCATAAAATAAAAAAATTGTTTATAATTATATTACGGTCAACTACAAAGTTGTCCGCAGACCTTCCTAACCAAGTTAGAATATCCAATGCCAGTTAATGGACCTGAGAAAACAAATAGGTTGGAAAAAAAAGAAGGTACAGCTGATGGCCATTTTCCCTCAGCAGCTAAGAAACATTTAGTTGCCTCATTGTCTATCAGTCTGGATCAATTAATTAAAATCAAAATGACGTTTCGGTGGCATTCATCTCCTGCCGAATAGCTTTGAAAGTGTTAAGGCAAAGTTTAGGTATGCAAGATAAAAAAAAAAGGAAATATAGTGATACACATCAGGTGGGGGAGCCTGTGAGAAGGGTGGAAAATAATTACTGAACTTGTTTAGAAAAAAATAAAAAGTGTGAAGATAGAGGCAAGTCAAATTAAGGGTATGAACAATATGAGCAAAAGGGGAATAGAAAAGAACAAATACAAACAGATGGACAGAGACACAGGTCCACTGAGGAATCTAGTGCGTGGTTTGCTACTAGACTTATAGGTGACTCTCTCTGACGTTTGGTGGTAAACCGTCCAGCCTGTAAAGATGAATATAGGAGGGAAGAAGAGAAGAAAGAAGAGAAACGCTTTGAAAAAATGCACAAAGATTGGTATGAGAAACCTCCACCATGAAAAGCATCAGAAAAGGACACAGAGTGGGTTATTTGGAACCAACTGCAGCATTCAAAGGTGCCTTCATCCAAAACAAACAACCATAAACAGAAGTAAAAGGATCATTATCTGATTCAATAAAGTCATCTCTAATTAGGCTTAAAATGGGTGCATAGATAGATCTATTCATAAGGGTGTGTGACAGTTTAATGGAAAAGGGTTTCAATACAGTGTTGCATCTCTGTAGAAGTCTGTTATGGCTCAAAGCGGGGGGAAACATTTTTGTTCATCAGATGTCTTGTATCTACAATCTCTTGGGCTTTAGGTCTATAAAAGAGAAAAAAAGAAACAGCTATACAGCTGCCAACAAATCACTTGTCATCGTGTCGTCTTTAGCAGATGTGATCAAAGCTCCAGTGGATGGATTTTTCTATAAAGCTTGGTAGCTGAGCTTATTGTGTAGTGTAAAATCAAAGCAAATTAGCTTTTTTTCTTGTTTTTACCGCATTAACAACAGGAAAACCTTTCGAAGTGAAAACATTTCTAAGTTCTTAAGAAGTATGCAACAAGCTTAAGGCAGAAACTAATGGTGGAGATGCAGACACCTCTCAATGTAGAGAGTAAAGTAAATGGTTATATATCTGATCCCTGATTGCCTATCTGAGTTGGCAATAGAGGGACCAGCTGGCCAGGATAGCCACAAGGGAAATAGAAAAAAACAAAACAAAAAAACAAAACAATTGCGAACCTCTAATGCTACATTATGCCAAAAAACTCTACTTCAAACTTGCAGCAATCCAACCAATTTTTGAATCACTCTGAGATTTTGGAAACCATAGAGCGGTTTTAATCTTGTGTATTGGGAGGATATCAACCTTTGACTGAACTGACAGATGATTTATAGACCTCTTTCTCACTCGTCTTGAGTCCATTTACAACGAAAATGACTGAGCATGAGAAAATACAGGAAAACAGTCAATTTTCTCCCAAACAGCAAACAATAAAAAGTATTTGCTGTTGTATGTTTTACTATGAGATGACAAACTTGAAGGTGGGTGATGCAGCCAAATGAACAGAAACATCTCCTGAACTAACATGAGGAAATCAAACCACCATCACCGGTTATGTACAGAAGAAGGGAAATATGAATTAAAATATGACTGATCAGTTTTAGATCAGGTTTTTTGTTGGGTTTATTGAACATTTCTGCCCAAGTTCTCATTATTGAGCCATTTAAATCCATTGAGCTGCTTCATGGACTTCTGATTGTTACCACTGATACCCGTAGCATAAAAGGCCAAACGTTTTAATAACTACTTTATGAATAAAACCAGGAAATCTCCGTAATAAACTACATTTTTATAAATTTCCTGAATCTATGGATCTACATTGATAAAATTAATCATTTGCATATAGAGAAGTAATTCCATGTTCATTTGAGAAAAGTATTTAGATGTTTATATTTCAGCTCGATTTAAGTTTTTTTCCTTGCTAGTCTGTGTTTGTCTCCGTACAAAACCCATAAAGAGTACCTTGACCAGGGCCGGCTTGGTTGGCCGTGCCATCTGCACGTCTTCCAGCATAGATGTTGTCAGAGGAGAAAGAGCCTTTCAAAGAACAGGGCTGCTGTGTTTGAACCTGCTCCTGGGCTCTGCTGGGTTGACTGTTGGAGGCGGAGCTGCAGCTGGAATGAGCAGAACCATCTGACAGTAGCGAGCTTTTAGCTGGGGAGCTAGATGAGCTGGCAGCAGTTTCTCCTGTAAAAAAACAAAACCAAAATAAAACTTATGAGTCAGACTGAATCTCTACTTCATACACTACTACTTTTTTGTTCTTTTACAAAACCGATGCCACTTAAGTATTTTAAAACACTACATGTGTTTTACTGCACTAAAATTGTCCTGAGTGTTCATCATCCCACCATCTCTCCCACACACCTTTTCTCTCCACACTGTCACTGTTAGGATTATTTCGGAGTTGTTGCACCATCGGATTAAGCAGTTTTCCAGCTTTCAGTTTGTGTTTGCCAGTTTTGCGTCTTCGCCCAGTTGGAGGGACGGCATGAAGCAGACCTACTTTGGGAGGAACAGTCTTTCCAAGCTCCTTATACAAACGTTCAATCTCACTCCTCTGGAAAGCCTGTAGCTCAGAGATCTCCTTCATGTGCCTAGAATGATAAAAGTGAAAGACAGGAATGCTAATAAGCATTATTGTTAAAGTGACGACCAACGTGGATCTGAGTAAAATGCAGTTCATGTTAATTTAATCTAAAAGGTGCCACTTTTACCATTAAGGCTTACAATTACAGAATAATCAAAATCTACTCTGTCAGTATTTTAAGCAAATATCTTTAAATTGGCAGCGTATGAAAAAAATGAAATTCAATTTTACTTGAAACATCTGGTAATCATTGTAAAGGTTGTGGTGTTTCGTGCGGTTTTGTCAGCTTGCAATAATATCCTCTAATGCATTACTCTTAAAGCCAGTTTTTAAAACTATGATGTAAATTTTTCTACTGATAGCGTGAATCTAATCAAAACATAATTGAATTGAGTCTTTAGATTTCCAAGCATTTTCCTGGTTAGTCCATTTACCTTTCCATCATATTTTAAATGCACAAGCAGTAAATAAATTAAAGTTATTTTAAGCAAAAGTCATTTTACTTTTGCCCAATCCAAGTTATGGAAACCCATTAGTGTTTATTGAGCTACAATTATTGGCTTACTTTATGACAAATACACAATTATTTTTGATCATGATAAAAAAAAAAAATAGTTCTGATCTAGATAATTATTTCCTGCAGGACTGTCACCAAGTGAGTTTTTGCCTTTTTGGTGTAAATCTAAATATGACTCAGTTATTTCTACAAAAAAAATGTTTTAAAACAGGAAAGAATATAAAAAACCAAAAAAAAAAAAAACAACTTTTTAATATTAGAATGGTCACTAACAGCAGTTGAAATTGAATCCCTTAAATTAAATCTCATAATTAAATTTAGCTAAGGAAGACATTGTGCCATTTTGTTGATCATTAATTTTCGGATTAAATCAGTTGCGTGCAGCCATGACGTTCTCTCGACTTGCACCCATGGCTCCCCTGATGTCATCGAGCCCTAACAGGAAAGGGTTTGTTTTTTTCCAGTTGATGTAAAATACAGACAAACAAACACAGCGGTCCCAGAACCTCAAAACAATAAACCTCTACAAAAATACTGCAAGTCATTTCATTTTGTTTCCATAGAAATGCTGCTAAACAAAGAAAGACATTGTATGGAGGAGAATAAAAGAGGTGTCAGTCTATCTGTGGGTGAGTGTGATACTTTACTTTTCTCTCAGTTTCTGCAGCTCTTTCTTCATATCCGCATCCTCAAATTCTGAGTCATTGTCGCTGCTGATGGCATGGGAGAAATGTCCAACAGACGGTGAGGGAGTGTGGCCGTTCATTGCAACAGGCTGGCAGCTCGCTGATTCAGAGCTCTGCTCACTTTTGCTTCGTCCAGAGCGTCTCAAGAAGGCGACCGCCCTCTTAACAAGGTCACTTCCGCTGTGCTCAGTCACAGTGTGAGCTCGTGGAGCAGCCTTAGCAGGAGAAAGGGCAAAGCTGCTGCTGTCTTCATCAGCAGAGTCATAGTCAACCTGGGATTCAGAACAACCACGGCCAGGGCTTGTAGCGTCAATAGTTTGGGCTCGCGGGATGTGACGTGGGGTGGCATCAGGACTGGAGGTTGGAGTGGCATGGTAGAGGTTTGGAGGGGCAGAGGAACGCGTTCTGCTGGGAAGTTTGGAAGATCCCGCGCTCTGAGATGCAGCTGTCATAGATGTTTTGCACTCCAACTCATTACTGCAATCTTTCCTGTCAGTGCTCCGAGTCTGACTGCAAGATCCATCTGAACCACTAGAGGGGGCTGCAGAGCTGCAACTTGTTTTGCTTTTATCAGTCCGCTCAAGGATCTGTGGCTAATGGAGAAGCAAAGACAAAGTTGTGGTAATGGATGAGTCAAACTGATAATAAAGATGTGTTGACTTGAGAAACATTTATTTTTATTAGTTATTAGTTCAAAAATCTAAAATGCATAGATTCAAAGTATAATGAGTAATGAAAAAGAGTTAAAGAATGAGTCATATCTCCCTTTTCTCTCTTCCAGAAGTTGTGGAAGTATTAAATATTCGCCCATAATGTGTTAAGAACTTGAGCAATGAAATAATATGTATACCACATCATCATGAATATAAGGAAAGTGATTAAATCAAACTGTTTTAATCAGAATAGGCTGAAGAAATTAAATAAAATGTTTACATTGCTTACATGTCTTTCATTGTTTCAGCATTCCAAACAATGTTTGCAGCAATGTTATGATTAATAGTGGAGTAAATATACTAATAATGAATCGGTATTTTTTTAAACAATTTTTTAAAATGGAGGTTTGGATGGGCTGTGGAAACATAATTGTCTCCCTTTAGTTTTGCGTACAATTTACACTCAGTTACCTTGGTTACCGGACCCATTCGTCACGTTCAATTTGCATGTTTTCTAAGCCAAAACAAGGCTTTATTTTTCTTCCACTCTAATAAACCTTGAACTCAAAGCTATTTCTTATTTTGAATTTAAAAAGCTTCCTAGATGGGAAGTGAAACGTCTTCTAACTTGGTAGCAAAGTCCATTGAATTGTTTTGTCATTTTGAATGTTTTCTAATGACTCACACTATACACTGCCATCTACTTGACAAATTGCTTAAGTATACAGAATATGTAAAACAGACAGTAATGTCATTTCAAGGTTCAAAATGTATGTTTTTTTAAGGGTAAAAATCCAGACTGATGTAATCTTAAGTCATTGCTAAAATAGACAATTGCTTTAGCAAATACATTTTCCATTGTATTCAACTATGGTTATAATTGATGTTATTCCCAGACACACATGCTGCATTTTTACCATTGGTTCCATCTTCTTCTTTGTGACGCCCTCTGTGCTGTGCCCATCTGAGACTGGAGGGGAGCTCAGTCTGTCTGACTGGGGCTCAGAAGCCGTGCTGGACGGCTGAGAAGATGGGTGCTCCTGGTATAACAGGTTTCTGAGCTTTTCGTCTAATGTCTTGATAGTGCGGTCTACAAACTCCCCCCTAGGAGGACCCTCTCCGTCCGACTCCACTTGCCCACCACCTTGCTGTTGACCAGAAGACTGTGGATTCTGATGCGCTGGACTCTGCGGCTGAGAAGTCACTGTCCCAGGCTGGATGGGCGTGGCATAAGGCTGCTGCAGGACCACAGGCTGAGTGCAGCCCAGCTGAGGGGATTGCTCTTCAGTGGGACTAGACATCCGATTTGTCTGATCATTTAGCAATGAGGTTGAAACACCAGCACTCGTTTCTTTATCAGCAGCATTTGCATCCACAGAGGCGGGCGGCACAATAGCGCAACATGGCATATCTGCTACCATAGATACAGCAGAGAGAGGAGCTTCTTCTGAAGGAAAGGAGGAGTCATGGTTGCTGGTCCCAGTTTTAAGGGTATGTTTGGCAACACTGGGCTGACTCTGCTGCACCTGGTATTCACTAATAATCTGATCTGGAGGGTGCCCTAGTATGGGTGCAGATGAGGAGGTAGGGCTTTGGGAAGGTAAAGATGTGACCGGGGTGGTTAGAGTCGCCGTGGTGCTGCTGGACCCAGCTGATTCATACTCTAAAGAAAGGAAAAGAGTTATTTAGAGAGTAAACAGATTATGAGTTTAACAGCAAAGCCATGAAGAAGAGGAGTTACACGTTATCACTACTAAAGTGTTACATCATCACAGCCTCTGTGTGCTGGGCTAAAAGCCTACACTTCATTTCTGGCTAGAACCACTGCAGACCTAGTCTTATATAACTGACCCCAATGGAGGAACCACAGAACGCCACACTCAGAATGCATGCAAATCAAAGTTATATGCATAAACATTTAACGTTACACAAATGTAATCTCTTTGTCACAATATATGAAAGGTAACAACTGGATATACTGAATCTGAAGATGGGAAAGAAAAGAAAAAAAAGAAAAAGTGTGCAACACACCCTGTGCTGTAAAGGTCTGTGCTTTAGTGTTGTCCTCGTCTTGAATGAGTGTTTCATCCACAGGGCAGATGATAAACCAGCGCTTTCCAGTGTGCAGGACTGACACAGAGCAAGATGGAGAAACTTTAATTACTTTGAAATAATCACAGTGACAGACTTTCAGGTGGAAGAGAATAAATACAAGAGAATATAGACAACACATTTAAAGTATAGGAAGTTATTCTCCTCTGAATCCTTGAGGATGGAAATTGTTTTTCAAATGAGGCATACTGCATCCAATGAGACTTACCATTTTGTTGATAAACCAGCTGGGGAGTCGTAGGTTCTGAGGCCTTTACAGATAGAAAAAGGAATAGATTAACTGTATGGAAATCAGTTTAAAATGCTTCTAAAAATGTTTATTCTACCAAAGCAATAAGTTCAAAGCCAGATTTAAATTGAAAATAATATTTATATCCTGTGTTTATGCATCATTAGTTAAACAACTTATTGAAAACTTCCCCACAGCAGCATTAATGGTGCTTTATTTGTACCTGGAAGTCTGCGTTCAGATCAAAATGACTTCAGAGATTAATCTAAAGTAGTGTTGTAGGAGGTGCTATAGCTACAGATACTATATACCTGTGTATATAAACCACATATTACCCTGTAATATGTAGGGCTTTTATTTATTCCAGGCTCTTCCCCATCCATAGGGAAAGCGGTCTAGGACAAGACCAAAAAGCTTCCAAAAAGGAGGAGGACTGATCAACACATGGCTGATATGAACCAACAGGCCACCACTAGGAAGCTTTGGGAGGTTACAGCTGTTTGGGCAAAAATTCACAAATATAAAATGACCATTAATTGTTTTTTGGGTTTTTTTTTTCCAGAAGCTCTAAATCTTCCCAAAGGAGGAGGATACTAAAGGTGAGAAAGGACAAATATCAGCCCACAACCTGACCAAAGGAATTACTGGTAAAAGATTACTCCTCGATGAATGAAGAGTTTACCATCCCATGCAGCAGAAAAAAAATAAATAAAACAGAGCGGCTTGCGGTAATTTTTCCAAAGAAGATTTAAAGGAGTTTCGGAGAAACCAATTTCCCTATGTTTGGAGTTAAAGAAATGTTAAGCAAAAGAAATCCTAAAATGTTAACCTTTGAATCAGTCCTAAATGAAGTAAAGGAATGCTTGGAAAACTTTTCTCTGTAGTAATGATCAAGCGCTTATTTATGATTTTTGTGATTTCCCTCATGAATTACTGAGTTTTATTAGATTTTTCCTTTTATTTAAAAAAAAAAAAAAAATGGAATGCTACTATATTTATAGTTAAGCAGGCTTAAAAAAAATGTCAAAATGACGAAAATCCTCAGCTGTACATGTAAGCAGTGGGGGTGTAACAAGACAGCAACTCAGATCAAGATATTAAAGGATTAATGATCCAAATAGATTGATGCAAAATGAAAAAATATCGATCACATCGTCATCTTAACAATTTTCTAAAAACAGTGCTTCCTTTTTTTTTTTTTTATTTAAATGTCCAAGTCATAGCATAGATGTAGATGATTGTGTTAGATGGGCATCATATAAACCACAGACTTTTAAACTGAATTGAATAAAAAAACACATCTGGACAGTTTCCCAAACACATTTCCCAGACACATTGCTTGGGCATTTCATCGTTGTAAAGGTGGTGATTAACAGGCCAAGTAAACATTTTCTATCTCACCTCTGTTCCCAGTGGACCAGCTCCTTCAGCCTGTCCCTGATCAGAGCTCCTCTCTCCCTCCGTGTCTTCACTCAGCATGTCCTCAGCCTTATCTACAATGTCTTTCAGTTGTTCGATGAAGATCTCTTTTTCCAGGGGAAGAATGAAATCATTTTCCACCTTAATGGAACAATTAAGAGGAAAATAAATCATTTTACAGATGAATTTTTTTTTTTTTTTTTAAGTGGGTGATTCTGGGTGTGGAGCTTATAGCTGGATCAGAAGACAAAAGAAAAAAGCAATACAAATCTAAGTTCATTTTCCAAACAAAATGAAATGCTAGACTTTATGTTCAAGTAAAGACAAAAAGACTCCTGAAAAATCCATTTTTGTTTAGCAGGACTCTTTAACTGAAGTATTTGCAATAAATGACAATGTTACTGAGGAATTCCTCCAATTAAATATTCATTGATTGCTAAATATGCTCAATATTAATGCGCAAGCAAAGCTTTAGGGAAGGAAGAAAGCAAGAGACAGCCAATAGATATTTTGCTGCATTGCAGCTGAAACCAGCTGGGAGTTTCTGCTCTGTGCGGTATGACAGCTTCTAGCCAAGCAGGCTTCAAAAACCTTTGCGAGAACTGAAGTGGCAGCACACAGCCTTTTCCATACCATATAAGTAGCAATCTCCTCTGGTGCATCTCCATCCAGGTCAAACTTAAAAGTCACCATCTTATGATTATGAGTTTCTAGTTGGCACTCCACCATCTTATCCCCAGTGTTACACACCTGCAAGAAGATAAAACATTTCAGCTCATCTCCTTTTAAAAGCAGTTTAACCAGGTGAAAGATTCAGGTCACTCACGTTGAGCATGCTGAGCTTTGGTTTGCCACATTTTTCCTGTCGAGAACGGGTGCGAGAGGACTTGTGGTGTCTGCGTTGTTTTGCTTCACCTTTGCCTCCGTGCGTGCCTTCGTTTCCATCGCTCATCTCTCTTCCCGATGTAACATCAGAGTTGATACTGGTTAGGAGAGGGATTGATATAATCAGATACAGAAGAGTATACCTAAACAATTAATAGAAACAGAACTAGGGCTGCGCTATCGAGAATATGATCTACCCCAGCAGAAAAACATGTTCCGTATATGCCTTAAATGCTTGCACATGGGAGGTTATAATACGTCAGCTACTGTGTGTAGTAATAAATCACGAAGACCTAAAAGTGAGTATTTTGCAGAACCTTTATATATATTGGCAGTTTTTTGTCAGATTACAAACAACATCATAAGTATTTTAGGATAATTTTAAGTAATGGACTAACAAATGAGATCTTAATGCATGGATTTTCAACTGTTTAAAATTTTACTTTATAAAAGGGTAAAATAGATATTTAGTTTGCTCTAATCGGATGCCTCCCAGAGCAATAATGTGCTTTTAGGAGTCCCCTAACAACTAAATAAAATCTGTTGTATAAATAAAGCAGAGCAATGAAGGCCCGAGGAACAGGCAGGTGAGGAGGAATATTTTGGAGAGCTTTTACAGCAGATCTACATTATAGGAAAAACAACTTGGAACCTCATACAATGCAATATTAAACAAGAAATCTGGAAAGTTGTGGAGGATACTTTTAGATACAGGGATTACAGAGCTGATCAAATCTCAACAAATAAGCTTTCCACACATTTCAGAAATGTTGAAATACATTTTTGACTGAAACACAATCAGTTCAGGTCTTACACTCCTCACAGAGACCGAGGTTTAAAGAGTTCATCTCTGATTATTAACATTTGCAGGATTTAGCAAAACCTCTAGTCACATCGAGTTACACTTCTGAAGTATGGTTACAGCTTAAAGAGGAAATATTAATGGCAGATTACCTATCTGCAACTTATTATGAAAGAGCAACAAGACTTTAGAAAATAAAAAAATACTAATAGTAGTAGAGTATCAACAGGTTATTAATGCAAGCACTGAGTTTTGTGTTAACCCAGTTATGTTTGACCTTCCAAAATGATTATAAGAAGACTTATTAGTCATTGGATATTTTGTACATTACAAGAAATGACCAAAACTCCTCTAAAATGTCTTGGTGATGCGCATCAGAAATCAAGAGTGCAAATTAAGGGCAGTTCAAGTCCATCGATCGGGCCAACAATATTAGCAATATGTTGAATACAGATGCATGCCGCTTTATATACAGTACGCATCCCATGTTGCATAGATACCCAGAAGGAGAGAATTTTAAATAATGCTTAACTCTACTATTTATCAGATTAACAGTTTAATTTATAGAGATCTTTGTTCTGATGGGTGTTCTGCAGGGCTATGTTAGAGTTCCTTTTATATTTATTTATTATTAAAAAATTTTGAATATTTTATGTGCAAATCAAAATGTTTTTGGGGTTTTTCTTTGCCATACCAATGCAGATAATTGAAGAAACTTTGTTGGTATCACTGAACCTTCGTGAAGCATTGAACACTGCTGATTACTTCATTCTATAAAAGCACCTAAAAAAAACTAAACTTTTAAAAATTCTACTTGAAGGAAACAGACTTTTATGTGTCGGTAGGTAACTTTACATCAGAGATGCAGGATCCCATTTGGGAGGACCTAAGGATCTGTTTTAGGTTCCCACTTTTTCAATAATCAATATCCTTGCCCCAGCTTAGATTATAATAATTATCTTAAGTCAAGTCACTCACTTGTAAATCTTTTGCATATTATTTATATTATAGTCAATAATGTTTTTTTTGTTAAACTAGAAAATGAAGCCAATTGTAGCTTAATGCCTTGCTGCCTATCTTGGCCAGTTCTTCCTAGTAAAAAAAGATTTTAATCTTAATGGAATAAATCTGCTTGAATAATGTTAGAAAGAAAACAAAAATAAAATGGTGGAAGCAAAAACATCTGCAAGACCATTTGAAGGGTAATAAGCTTGTACCTGTCACAGCTCTGTCCTCCAGTCCGTTTTTCTGCAGCAGGTTCCTGCAGAGTGCAAAGATAAACAGATGAACCCGTTTTTATTCCTGATTACATACCAGCACAAATTACAAACATTGCATTATATTTATTCTTTGATAAGTAAAATTAACAGGGAATGATGAGTGTAGAGCACCAACAAATATTTCAGTAAGTCATGCGCCCATACCTCAACGTTAATCTCTGATGACCCTTGACCTGCCGTTCCTGTGACTGTGCTTGGGATTTTCTGCTGGGAAGCAGAACCGGTGGCGGGTTTGGAGGATGCCTTCTGTGAGTCGGCAGACGGCAGCACAGGAATTTGGCCCTGTACCTGACTCTGACGTTGGCCCTGTGGGGTCACCTGGCAGGTCTTGGTGTTGTCCAGCTGGTTCGCCACAGTGGCTGCGCCAAGATCTGCCCCAGTCTGCACAGCTGAGGGGAAGACTGCAGGTTGTAGGAGCTGAGACTGCTGAACCTGCTGGGTACTATGGCCATCCTGAGGCTGTTGACGAACCAGAAAACAGACAAGTAGATATGAATTTTACAACGGTTACAATAAAGGTCAATTTAACTTTACAATCCCTAAAATTAAAAGACTGACATAATACATCATAAAAATACATAGAAAAAAACCACCTTAACCAAAAAATAATTTCAACTCCAGAGCCCGCCCTTCATTTGAAAACACTATTTGCTTCTCTGCACCAGTCATAGTTACCTGTATCAGAGGCTGAGAGATGCCATTTGCAGGAAGGTGTGTGTTCTGGCACGAAGCAGTGTTTGTGTGCATGGGGTGGCTGGTTAGTGTTGATATAAATGGAGACTGCATCTGAGAAGCCTCAGATCTTGCAGCTTTGGGTTGGTGGTGTGGTGAGGTAGGCTGTACCATACCCTGCACAGATGAGGGGGATGGTACAGGAAGGGACACTGGAGTGGGTGAAATTAATGTGTTTTCAATGTGCAGAGGGGAGAGGGGGGAAATGGAGGGGGTTACAGGGACAGTAAATCCAGGAGAAAGGAAGATGTGAGTAAGGGAAGAGGAGGATGTAGGGTAAGGACTAGTGCAGGGAGGAAAGTAGGCGGATTCAGCATCAGCCACAGCAGCCATCACCTGGACTGTGGGGTATTGTGAAGGAAACTAAAGGAAACAGGAAGAAATAAGAGAATTATAGGATCTAGAAAGTTTAAATGAAGAGGAGCGTGGCAAGCAAATTGTTATTGTTGGAAATGTTACTCAGCAATAACTCAAACCAGGACAAGCAGAATGCCTTGCAAAATTACCAACCCATCTCCGAAGCTTTTCTGTTGCATTCCACCTTTTCATTTAAAATTATTTCAATATTACCTTATATGATGAATATGCACAAATAACCTAATTCAGTGAAGTGAAATTAGAAAAAAAAATAATAAAATTTAATTCTTTAACAAAAGACTTATCCCAAAACAGGTTTAAAGAAACAAATGATCAATAACACTCACAGTAACTAAAATGAAGTCATGTCTCAACCAAATGTCACATGATCTGTCACTAAAAAAAGTCAAAGAGGCTGCAACAGCATTAGTTATGGTGTAATCACACCATAACAATAAGGAGGTCTCCCAAGTGCGATGGAAGGGGGTTGGGGAATAATACCTTTGCAGGCAACTGAAAAGAAAAATGTGATAACCTACTAAAAAAATCGAATTATTCTGACAAACTGGTATTACCTGGGATGGTTGAGATGATGGCAGTGAGGCAGAGATCTGGAGAGGCTGGAGCTGTTGGTGGGAAGCAGTCTGGAGAACAGAGTCCTGATGAGCAGGTGTCAGCGAAGTGGAAGCTGATTGGCTGAGATTCTGTATATGGCTTTCATCATCTCGTCTAGACTGAAGATTCTGGCAAACAGAAACACAGAAGGATGGAACCTCAGAGGGCAAGTAATACACTTTACAGCAGTTTCCCAAATGTGATCCATTTGTGACCAGTATGGGGAGAAATCCTCAGTATCTACACATACTGTAGAACGAAAACAGATAATGACAGGGGAGGTGTCAGAGAGTCACTGTGGGTATAGTGACCTGTTCAGCATGCTATAGAACCAGGACAAGTATGTTTGGAAGAAACAGCCTCACTAAGAGCAACAAAAATGTATGAGGTTCAAAGTAAAAAAGAAAAATTATATAGATGTAGAGGGACTTGTAAATTTGCTACATGGGTTTAGGTAGCGATATGTTTAGAAGAAGATGTATTCAGAACGTTTAAGGAGCCTTCATTATAGAGTGTAGATGTAGCTTTCTTAAACAGACTTGACTTCATTATGGCGCATTATGAATGACCTGCAGAATATCATGTTGCGGTTATCTGCCTGCAATCAGATCAGTAATTTTAATAGAATCTGGTCAAATGACACCTCAAAAAAAGAACTAATATAAAGTCTTAGATAAAAAAGTGTTCATGCAAACACAATGGACACTCACTTGCTGGCTAATCTGTGCACCATGGCTGTGTTGGGATGAAACCGGGAAGGTCTGAGGAGATTCTGCTCGAGTGATTCCTTCTGCAGTGATGCCCTGCTTCAGCTGGTACTGGCTCTGACCTGACATGGCCTGCTGGATGGCAGAATGTGCATAGCTGAGGGAGGAAGCATCAGGCAAAGCTGATGTAAAGTAAATTTGATTCCCAGCTGGAACTTGTCTAACTGGGGTTCCTTTGGGAGGAGGCAGAGACTGGGACTCATTCTGACTCTGTTCTGGAAGTGCATGTTGCAGAAGAGCTGGAGTGTCCACTTGGTGAGTGGGAGACTGAAGTTTCTGAGTATTAAGTGTAGGAGGCTGTGCCACTGGATGGTTAATGTTATGCACAGATTCCTGGCAATGATTATACACTTGTCCAGCATTTAGTGCATGTTGTAAGTTTGACTGGGTATTTGGTAGTAAGGACTGTCGTAAATCTTGAGTAGAAATGATGTGACTGTAAGCTGCTGGTGTGGAAGAAATTTGGCCTGGTTGCTGACCCGGCTGACTGGCTAGGGCCTGGGCCTGCTGAGGTGTGCTAGTACTGTGTGAAGATTGAGGGTGTGTCGCTCCTGTCATCTCTGATGAAACTGTGCCAAGATGGCAGCTCTGTGTTGGCTGCTGTGCTGCAAAGGCAGTTGCTGCAGGATAGATTGATGCAGTCTGTGTTTGTTGCTGAGCTTTGGCAACAAGGTTCTGAGAAACCTGCTTTGCTTGGAGGTTAAAGGTTGGAGAGCCTGATGCTGCCGGCTGATGTTGGTGTCCTGTAGGTTGATAGCTCTGTGCAAAATGTTGTGGCACAGCCGATGCTGCATTGCTAGCTGCAACCGATGTTTGTTGCTGAATATTTAATGAGCCAAGACTGGCTGGGACGGGTGTAGCACCACTAAGGTGACTAGCATACAGCGCAGTAGGGTAGCTATGTACAGGATGGAGGGGCTGCTGTGGGACAGGCACCGTTGTGCTGGACGAGGGCAGGCCTTGGACAGACGACTGATGACCGGCAGAATTGGCCTAGAGACAAGGAGAGAAAAGTTTAATCTTTACAAGGGTTCATTCTTTAGTCAAATATAATAAAGTTTGGTGCCTTCCCAAAATATTTAACCCACTTGAAGTTTTTATTTTGTCATCTTAGAAAACAAAACTTCAAAATGTATAGTTTGCAGTTTTATCAAAGTGGCACATAACTGAAATAGAAAGAAACTAAGCATGGTTTTCTATTTTAGAACTTAAACTGTGGCTTCCGCCTGCATTCAGCGCCCTTAACTCTGAAACCCCTCAAAATTATTCAAAGTTGCAGATTATCAGCTGGAACCACTTTAACTCTATTAGCCATATATCAGTCTGACCTGAATGCAAAAAAGGCATAGTGCTCAGTTACAACTATTACTGCATATCACTAAGAACAAGCCTATGCTCATAGGGAAGTACGCTGTGGGCAGCATCATTCTGTGGGAATGCAGGTCTAGGTTGATGGAAATATGGATTGTGCCCTGTATAGTTAAGTCCCCCAGAAACCCCATTAGAAGCTGCAGAAGACATGAGACACTCATGCTTTCTCTTATTTTCTTTCAGAAGACAATTATTTCCCTTCAGCTTTACAATTATGCTCACAGTTTAGTGGGTCTATTGTAAGTATGAGTGTTATTGACTTACAATCTCAGTATTTTATGGCACTGCTGCAACAGCAATAAAAGTGATCATAAACACTTTATTACTTCTTTGCAATGTATTTTTTTAGGTAACTGTACAACTGACTGCCACAGCAATCTTAGCTCCTCAGTCACAAATGCGGTCTTTAAAAATTACACCCAGTTTAAAATCAGTGTATAAAATATATATATATATATCACTACACTGCACACAGCAATAACATTTAATCAGATTCTTATCCTTCTTATCCTTAATTGCTTATTTGTGAACACCCTTATTTTGGAGAGATATCAAAATCATTTTTATATCAGACCACTTATACATTGGGTCTTTAATAAGGGCCTGTAGCAGCTGTTTAAATAAATTCCCATAAATCACACTGCTTTGGTATCCAAAACATGCTCCCATTTATTTAGTAGTTTCAACTGCTCTTGTTCACTTTAAAAGAACCCTTGTCACTACTGTAAAACATGTGCTCTTTTTGAAAAAAAAAAAAAAAAACTGAAGAAAAAGGAAAAATAAAGTTTCTGACAACAGCCTTATTTTTTAGCATTTAAACATAATCATAGTTTTGATGATAAATCAAAATTGTAACAATAACAAGATTTGCCCTAGTATATCAGATGAAATCCCAATTAAATATGTTAGATTGTTACATGATAAAATTAATAAAATATTCAAGTGGTTTAAAATATTTGCAAGGCGCTGCAAATTTGAGGAAAAGGAGGCTAAAAGTTAGTCAATTAAAACACCCCTTAGACTACAGAGCAAGAGCAGGAAGGTGAGAGGTAAAGTGGGAGAAGTGGGATAAATGGAGGAAGACCAGACAACCATCCCTTCTTCCTGAGAAAGAACCCACCTATCCATAGCAGGCCAAGGATGGACAGAAGCTGCGTTACTTTGGCAAAGTAGAAAGGAAAATGTTCAAATCTAGGTCAACCTAAAAAGGGTCTATTTAAGGTTAATCAGAGGGGTCTCTGAAAGGTTAGACCATTCTCCACTAACAGAAGCAAGCTTACGACTGAAACATGGTCAGAGCGGAAGGTCTATGTAGGCAGCAAGCCTAAGCGTAGAGAGGAGGCTGGTCCAGCTTCATGCAGAATAAAAGGTTTAGTTTTTACAGGCTGGGAAAAATCTGCAAAGCAGGTGCTTGCTCCATTACAGGGAAATTGATTAACTTGTCTGCTGTTGCGACCTACCACTTCCACAACAGTGGTAGCTTGTTCTCTGGAAAAACATCTATCGTTGCAGTGCTGGAGAGAATCATGACCTTCAGACCAACTGTCGCTCTGAGGAGGACTCTGTGGGGAACATTCTCCATCGCTGTGGGACGGCCTCGTGGCCGCCGAGGAATACAGAGGAGGAAGTTGGGCTGGCACGATGATTGAGGGAACTGATTTCCGGCTGATTATATTAAACAGGGACTGCTGTAGCATAGAAAAATTTGAATAATCACTTGATCCTTTTGGATGTCCATAACCAGAAGTAGGTAGTTTTCCACTGAATAAAGGATTGAGGCGCATGTCAGCCGGACAGAGATATGTCGGTGAGAGGACAGCAGAGGGACGGTGGTTCCCGTTTTGGGACTTTGGCAGAAACAAAGAAAGGCAGGCTTGGCACTCAGAGCTCCTATGCAGTGCAGAAAGATGGTTTTCATTCGAGGCAAGACTAAGAAGGCCACTGAGGTCGGAGTGTCTGCGTGGACTTTGCTCTGGGAGAGCCAAACTCTCACTGGTTGATGTTGATGGTGTTGCGATACTGGTATCACTCAGCCGACGGAACTCCGTAGGTGAAGAAAGGGGGGAGATATGAAACATTGGCAGAGAGGTTGGGGAGGGATGCCTGTCCTCAGCTTCAGACGCAGGATGAGGACAGGTCTCCCTGGGGAAATTCTCCACCATGTTCTCCCTTACAACAGGGATCGGACTGACTGATCTCTGGTTCTGAATAAAAGAGCGGAGAGCAGCCATTTGGCTTGCCCTTTGAATGTCAATTACAGGAGCACTTCCCCTTCTCTCTGCACTTCCCAGTCGAGCCCTGAGCTGCGGGCTTATTGGAGCCTGCCAAACTTCAGCCATGTCAGAGGAATGAGGTCGTTCTGTCAGAAAAGCACTGCTGCAGTGGCACTGATGAAGAACAACCCAAAAGCAAAACATGTTACTCAAAAATAAACAGAAGCACATAAGAAAATGAAAAGTGTGTGAAGATAATATGAGATTATAATAATGAAAAAGGTTACTTGGTATTTGCAGCAACATAAATTTAAGTTGTTACCTAAAGGTTAAATATTCCCAGGAAATCAAACACTCAAATACATTCACATTCATTAAAAATGGGATGGCAAACAGCTAATGGTCACAGAACCGATTTAAGCAAATATTAAGGAAGATTTCACTGTTGCACAAAAACAATGAAGCACATTTGATAGACATTGTGTTGGCCTACTCAATCACAGAGGCATCTACTGCGTTCCAGCATTCACAGACCCCCTTAAATAAGTAGGGTAAGCCACAACACATCACCACCAAAGAAGCTGGCCAATCCAGGTATATCAATGGAAGTTTGAGTGGAAGGAAAACTGTGGTCAGAAAACATAAGGGAAACCATAGCATAGGAATATTTTGAAGCAAGGCCCAAAATCACTGGCTAAGGCCCGCAGCTGGGGTCAGAACTTTAAGAGGAACCACACAGATATCTGGAGGGCATGTGCTACAACTGTCACCTCCTAGAGTAAGGCCACCTCTGAACCAACAACATCATCATCATGCCTGGGCTATGAAGGAAAGTGGTTCAAAGTGTTTACCACACTGCCAGAAGTAATAACACCCTCTTATTTCATGTAACGACAGCAAACTCCTATAAACAAAACTCCACAGATTCTATAGAGGATCAGGAATGGAAGAGGAGGGCCAGGCCCAACGATAAAAGCTGCTAGCACACATGATCTCTCCTCAATACATGGACATACTTTTCAGTAGGTGAACGTTTCAGAAACCCTCTTTTGTTCTAATGAAATAGTTACTTTTGAGAACTTTACATGAACTGCAGGCCATAATCTTCACATTTAAATCCTTAAAGTAATCACAACACATTTTTATCTATACATGTTGAATTACTTAAGTAAAATAATTACTCAGAAAAAGACTCCAATTTAGTGAAAAATTATCCGAAATTGGACATGACTGGATGCTTCTCAGAGTAGAAATACAGCAACAGCTTATTTATTGGGGGACACGTGGACAAAAGTTTTAATGTCCTCCAATCAATCTGAAGGTAGACGTTTCAGCTGGGTGAAGGGATACCAACCTGCTGTGTTGCCATAGTAAGAGGCTCCAGCAATGACTGGTAGAGGTTACTGTGCTGGCTGCTGTGGGAGTCTGAGTACACAGTAGAGCCTATGCCACTATCGAGTGTGCCGTCTGCTGCTGGGACACACAAAAATGCTCTTAGATTAAAAGGTGATGGATTTGTGTGGTGTTTCTGTGGGAGGACAAAGAAAATGTCTTACATGTCACTGAAGTGGTACTGGTCGGCAGGTTGTGTAGCCTGCTGCGCTGGTCCACCTCTAGGTCTTCAGGCTCGACAACATGAGGCTGTATGACATGTGGTACAGCACCAGAGGTGCTCTCTGATGATGTCACATTTACCCTCTGCCCTGGGTCACCCTGCTCTGCTTCAGCTACAACAGTTACCGTCCTCCCTCTTCTCCATTTTATCAGCGCCACGCGATCTCTTATCGACTTTCCCACAGTTTTAGCGTCACTGTCATGGAAGAAGCCCGACTCCACCTGACAAAGAAAAAATGGGGGGGATAAAAAAAGAGAATAATTTCCAAGATATTTTTAGCACTGAGCATGTGAGATAGGATGGGGTGTATTAAAAATGGGAGAGTGGGAGGCAGACAGAGAGAATGAGCACAAAAAGAAAAGGAAGGAACAGAGGAGCTATTTAAAGGGGTCAGAGCTGCGGGAAATGATTCCCTTTGTTTGTGTCTGGCTCATTGCTCACATAAGAGCTGGAAGCAGTTTTACATTGACAAATGTACATAAGGGTCTCTTTTCTGAGTATATCATGTAACAAAAATTATGAATTCTGCTCAATCATATTTTGTAAGCACAGGTTGTAAAACATTTTTGAAGTTCTTCACATTATTTGTTTATTAAACACATCTTAACTGTTCAGCTTGCTTGCTGCTGCTCAACTCTGTCATGAGTTGCTCTGCACTTTGATTAGGTTTCCAGGCTTCTAATCAGTTTTTCCACATTTCCAACAAATATTTTCCATTTCTGCCTCTTATTGGCAAAACGTTTAAAAAAAGCTGTACATGTTTTATTACACTCTTTTCAGTCTGCAGGTCTCTACATTGTGACATTATTATTATTTTTAAAACAAATTAACTAGTTAATCTGGTATAAAATATGCAGTGTAATCTGAACTATACTAAGACAATATTTAAGAAGTCAAATTAATTCCTTTGAAGAAATTTGTTTACTGAAGATAACAGCTGCTGGTATCAACTCTAAAATAATCATTTAAATAGCTGGTAAAGCTAAATAGGTGACACCATATTTAGCTGTTCTGCTCTAACCCCAGTTGGGCAGCTAATATCTGACATCTTTAAACACAAATGTAATTATCAGGAATAGTCATATCATGGATTTGAAAAAAATGCACTAAAACAAACTTTGATGTAGCATTGAACTACAATAAGTTATGGCCCTGGGTGTGTATCAGGGACAAAAGTCCAAATCAGGACATCCCTAAAAATACAGAGTAGATGCAATGTCACTCTCTGCCATTGTTCAGCATGATTAAAGGAAACAAACGCAACAAATAAAAATAGCAGGGAGCGGACAAGAAGGGAAGATGTACAGATATAGGTTGGTCATTGTTGTTTTTCACGTTTAACCCAATGCCAACGAATCAAAATGAGCATTTTTACATTCTCCATATCCATTTATCTCAAAGGCCATCACACTAAACCTCCGTTTTAAAATAATTTCTGTGGTTTTGATAAATGTTAGATGTGTTTGCTGAGACTTTACAAAGTTATGGTTGCTCTCAAATAAAGAAATACTTGTTTAATCTCTGATCCACTGGGAGCCTAATTAGGGGTGGGCGATATGACAATGTAAGACCGTGTTACGATCTACACCTCTGAAGATCTGTCATTATTAAGAGACCGTTTTATCAGGATCCACAGAACTGCAGTGCTGCTGTATTTCTGCCACTGACCACATTTACATGCAACCAAAAAAAAACCTTCACAGCTAGAATATAATCCGAGGGTTTGACGTTCGTCCGTTAGTTTGAAAATCACTTCAATGTAATTGAAGCTATGTTGGTCGTATCTAAAAAAAAACCGTGATAAAATCGAGATCACAATAATATAATCAAAAAACCGTGATATTTTATTTTTGCGATATCGCCCAGCCCTAAGCCTAATGTATAAAATATATAAAGATAAAATAAACTGGTTCCTGGAAAAGCAATGAAAGTTACCAACACCATTGGTGTTCAGGTTTAAGGCAGATGACACAGGTAAAGAGACAAGACTTTAAACAGATTGAGCATCTCAACACATTTAACATATTAGCATTGCATGCATGACAAAAACAGACCAAGTCATAATTATTTTAAATGCTTTATAATAAATTGACCAACCATTTCTTGTGCCACAACCTCGGGGACCTCCTTCTCCAAGTCAAATGTAAACTCAATGGCTCCAGTCTCCTTGTACTTTCCTTTTAACTTCTTGTGGTCCTCCACCCACAGTTTCAGAGCAATGGTGGGTTTTTTCCCATCATCCTCCTCTGCAAGCTCCACCCTCACACCTGTGTCCTCAGCAAAGAATGCATGGTTCAGGAGGTCCTTTATGGTATACCTTGAAAAGCAAAAAAACAAATCTGGCTCAGAATATATATGTGACTATTCAGTGCGCATTAGGACAATGGTTTTTGTTGGGAAATGGTACAACTGCAATGATCAGATGAATATCTGTATTCGTTACAATAATGAGGTTTTTTTTAAACAAACATTACAGAATTTTGTCATGTATATGGATATCCTTCCTGGCTACAGTCTGTACCAGTTGGGGCTGAACAAATAATTTAAAATGTGTAACTGAATATTATTTTTTTTACCAATATGTCAATTGATATTTTATTTAGATTTTCCTTTGCACTAACCATTAGCTTGTGCATGTTTTATGCTAGGGTTTTAGTTTTTTCATAAGCTTGAAAGTCCAGAGCCCATTGTTTCAGGACTGTACTGTAACCTTTTTGTGAAAAAGTGCTTATACTTCTACTTGCATGCATGGATTGGCTGGTGTGTCTGTGTGGCAGCAAACCCACTTTAAGTGTATTTACCTACAAGGTTGCTGTCAGAAATTTAGAGTCTTCCTCTTTTTAAATGTAATGTGACCAAACTTGCTTAAATCAGTTGAGTTTCTGGTTCCATCTGAGCCAACATGGAGAATTAAAAGCATCAGCTTCTCTATGAAATGAGCCAATTTGAAAAAGTACTCAAAAACCAAAGTTGGAAAAGGTGGTAGTACTTTATTTATACTTTATATACAAGAGGCAGAAACAAAGACACTGTCAGGTATCTACTGAGGGATCAACAGAAGAGAGAAAGCCACAGAATGTCCTATTAAGGTTGCAATATAGGAAGTGAGGCTGTTTGCTTTGTTTTTCCCTAAATAGTTCAGAAAGGTATTTGATCAACACTGTGCTTCATAGATCCAGGTTCAGACTTTGTGCCACAGACAAATCTATTGTACTTCATTCCATACAGGACCCTCTTCACCAGCCTAACCTCTCCAGTCCCAGCAAGAATTGTGGCAGTCCTTGCAGCAAATGCTAAACTTAGGTTTACAAAGTAATTGGGTAATAACATTATCAGGTGTTTTCCAAAGTCAAATTCTTTCAAATAGAGCCTCACTGCATGGCATCCAAGGCTCATTTGGCCTACTTGTAGAGAATGTATTACATAACTGAGGTTTAAGAAGCAAGACCAATGTGCTGCAGAAATCCTCAAGGTGAGAAACACTGGGGTAAGGAAATGGCTAATAAAATAAGAGGCTCCTTTAGTAATCATTGGACAAGAAATGAAAATGGAAGAATCATTTACCTTTCCTCTTTCTTTTGGCATATGCACTCTCCGATGATCTCCTTGATTTCAGGATCCATGACCTTGTTGTAGCTAGCTGGCTTTACACCCTGAGAGTAAAGACAGAACGACAAAGCTCAGCGGGCAGGGAAAGAGGTTTTCGTTTGGTTTTAAAGCAAACAGTGCACATCTCCATTTATCAAGCAGGCATCGTCTGGTCAGATTAAAATGATGAAAAATCCCAAACACAATAGATCCAACAGTTTAGTTTCTAGTGTGATACGGCTAAAGCCTCAAGTGCTCAAACTACTCCTAGATTTTAACAAAAACCGAAGGACCTGCTCATTCCAGACCAGTGGATCGTGTGTGTTACGCACACACACACAATTATTTCTACCAGAGCTGGAACAGTTTTTACTTTCGTTAACATTAAAAATATTGAGAATTTCTTTAATTTTCATTTCAACCATAATTTTTCATATCCGCTTTTAAACTGAAAAAAAAAAGCATCATAATCCAAGGTAATTTGGTCAAAATAAACATTACATTTACATTATTATTGTAATTTCCTTAACTTAATTTAACATTAAACACTTAATGAAAAAGACAAATGAACATATTTTAGATGTTTTCAAAGTTGTGGTTCTGAATTTTTATAGGGAAAGTAAATTACATTAGCATTGCCTTTGATCAATCTTCAATTAATATCCCACTTATAAGGCAACCAGTACCCAGAGACAGCTTCAAGCAAAGAGCCTTTCTGCATTAACAGCATGTATAGTGTATTGGTCATGTCTTAGCTTATCTTGACAGCAGAAACAAAATCAATACCTTTCACCCAACATGGAAGTCCATCATGATTTTAAACACTGTCCAAGCTAAATAACAGTTTAGAGAATGAAACACTAAGAGTTTGAAACATGAAATTATAAATAGCAGCTGATAAGGTTTCTGTAAAAACCGGGCAAATGGCCACTTTATGCAAAGAGGGAAAAGAAATAATTTAAATCCAAACATAACCTGTGCATTCCGCTTTACACAATATGAATTGGCTTTATAATCGAGCTTTCATCTGCAAAGGTTTGAAATTTCTTTTTATGAAATTTGTTGTTTGTTGTTTGAAATTTGAAATAATCTTTATTTCCTCTATGCAGAATAAAAGCAGAAAACTATTTATTTCACAGAATAAAAGGAGTAGTTAAAAATAAAGTCACAGGAAGTTTACATGTTTGTTGACATTTCTCGTTTATGAAGCACATATCCAAATATAATAATTACTTTTAGCGTATGTGCTTTACTGTGCCCTCAATAATTCTATTCTAATAAGTTTTCGTGTCTCATTTCTGGTAATTAAGAGTAATATTTTCCATAGTGTTGAAGTACAGTTACTGACCACTTTCCGCTCCAATTGTTAAGTTATCTTTGTGTTTATGGTTTGCTAATATTTACTCCTTTTTATCCCAATGAATCTTCAGCCACATTGGTGGTAAATTCCCTCTCCAGAACAGGAGTAATGGAGGACACGGTCATTTCATTATTTCATTTCATCCTCTTTAGAAGCCGATAGAGCCATCTGCTACTGATCATTTTCCTACGTTAAATCAGACCCAGAACAGAAGAGCATGGAGCTGCTTGGACTGCATCAACATTGTAGATGGGGGAACGCATCTTGAGGTTGGATATCAAACACAGCAACAGGAATATAAGGATGCATATCTTCAGGCATATTTAGTATTTCATTTTTTTTTATGTCACTCTTAATGTTAGTATGTCGGTCCTCACCAGAGTTGTAGTTCTAAAATAGCTAGCATCAGGACTTAGCATAATTTGTTTTTCTCTCCACCATGTGCTACAAACGACAACAAGAGAGAAGTGTTGGCTCAATAATCACACTGTTGACGTTAATATCCACACTTTAATGGTCGCCATTAACAGTTTCCAACATGCGCTCCCGCGCTCATCACTCCACACCAACAAGAAGGAAACACAGATCTAGCCCCGCCTCCCATTCCTTACATCTCATACATGTACAGTCTGCTACTTACAACTTAACAAGAAGGTCAAATAAGCTCTCCTTAGGAGGGACTGACTGTTTGTATGCAATGCTAATGTAGGAGAATGTATGATCCATTCAAAAGGTAAAATGTCCTAATATATCCTGAATCATTTTTAATTTCTATGTATTAGTCTGTTTACTCTAAGAGACTGATTTCTGCTGCTAACTGAAATCGGGGAAACCTTTACTTTAGTTTAACAGAAAGTTTAACATAATCTAAATCAACTACTTAAACCAAACGTTTAGTTATAGTTTTGTTTCCTATTTGCCATTCTTCTAATATCTGTGAAAAGATAACAGCAAGCGGACTTACACTAGTTACTTTGCGATAAATCTGAGCAGCATTTTGACACTCTGAGTAGGGGTATTCTGAGGTGGCCATCTCCAGCATGCACATGCCAAAGGCGTAGACATCTACAGCCTCGTCATAATGCTCCTCATACATCTCTGGGGCCATGAACTCTGGAGTACCTAGAAAGAGAGACAGAACCTCGTAATCGGACTTAATCATCAAGGTCTCAAGCCTCTTGGTTGAGTCTAATACATAATCTCATACCTATGACGCTCTTTGCAAAGGAGGCAGCTTTGAGTGTTGCTAGTCCTAAATCTCCTATCTTGACTGAGCCGGTAGGTCCAGTAATAAAGATGTTATCACACTTGAGGTCTCTGTGGATGATCGGCGGTGTCCGGGTGTGAAGAAAGTGAAGGCCTTTCAGGATCTGTCTGCACCAGCTTCTCAGGACTTTAGGTTTCATTACCTTGAAACGCTTCAGGTAGCTGAGAGAAAGGGAAAGAGATTTGTTACAGAGAATAAACTACAACTGTTCATCAACACAGCTGACAAAATAAAGTAGCATTCTTACGTTTTTAACGTTCCTGAAGTCATGAGCTCTGTCACTAAAACAATACACTTCTTTCCCTTGAGAGGAGACTCCCAGAAATCATAAAAACGGACAATGTTGGGATGCTGGAGACCCTTCAACATCTCTGCCTCCTCCTTAAAGCGCTGACGTTCTATTTTTGACAGCTTACGGTCCTGGAGAAAGAAAAGAAGTGATCAGTACAGAGCTCAACCAGCTAATGATGTCCTCCATGATGTTGCTTCATCACAGTTATGTTAAAGTGTCACTCATAATTCAACAGCTACAAACAGCTACTAAACACTTAGAGCAGCAGTGAGGCAGTTTTAAGACAAGAAATTCACAGCAGCATTTAAGAAATAATGGACATCTTTTTTTTTTTTTTTTTAGAAAAGTACTAAGGAAACTTTCTATTCCATTTTTGCAAAATCTAAATCTTCATTCTGGTCTTCTCTTCTGAGTCCTCCCTCTTCTTTTGATAAACTCAATAGGCTGTTTGCTTCTTGCGACTCAACCATTTTCTAAGTATTTAATAAGAGCAGTTAAGCTAAGATGAATACTGACTGAATACATGAACACAAAAAGTGTAAATGAGTACAAAATGATTAATTCACAAATATCACCATATGAGACCCACCATTAAGTAAGATGATTACCCCACATCTTTAATACTGTACACTGCACCGTTAAAACGTCATCCCCTAAGGCCAGTTTATATGGCTTAAATTAAAACTAAAGGGACTTGGGACAAGTTTTACTTCAAATTAATGAACAAGTGTGAAAGTAGTACTGTAAACAGCAAGGTTTGTGGCTCGATATAAGTAAATATCAACTGCATATCTACAATATAATAAAAATCTATTAATATTTTAAAGAAATGCAGCAGAATGAAAGCGTGGCTACTTAATGTACAGTAAATACACCCACTAGTTGGTGTTGGGCTCTTATTGCGAATATTATAGTAACAATCCCACTTGTCTGTAGCTGTCATATTCATCCACTTTCTGAAAATTACATAAATTCTCCTTCAGATGAGTGTGCAGAGAGACAAAGTTTCAATAAGCTGAATTTTAGTTTCCATTAGCAGTGATCTTTGACATACATCTTGTGTGTTTAATAAATAAATAGATAAATAATGAATATATAAGAATACAGATAATTCAGCTCCTGTATCCATCTATATCCAGTCCAAGTGTAAAATGATGACCCAGAGATAAGAATCTCATTAGGAGATATTTTGAAACTAAAAAAAAATGTTCCCTAAAAATTTCCAACAAATTTAAAGGCTTTGTATATAATCTAAAAAGCCTTTCCATCAGATCTGAATTTTGTTTTCAGTGAAAAATAGAGTTAATGAGGCAACCCAGGGGCTCTAAGCAGAACAGACCAGGACATGATTGTTGTCACACCCACATCATGCTGCAGTCTTAAAGGTTATGTCACGGATCTTTTCCATCTTTCTCAGTCTGTTTCACATGCATGCTCATTCTCTCAATCTTTTGCTGCCATCACTCTTCCCCCACTCAGCCACACATATCCCCTTCCCTGCACTTCAACCACTCCCTTCTCCAGCACCACCGATAAATTCAAGCATCCCGCATTATTCCTGCCTTTCAGTACAGACTCTGTCTCTCTGTAGGAAGGATCGTGACAGCCCCATGAGTATGTTGTCCATTTCCTTGGAAAATAAATCAAAACAAACACTTTACTAAAATAATGAGACTCGCCCCCCCGGAGAGTGATTGGGGACAGTGACGTTGGAATGCAATAGAAACAACCGAGCACAGTCTAGTTAATTATTCAACCAGCAGCAACTCGTTCTCAAAACGAATAATTTTAGCTTGTAAAACCTGGAATCAACACTGAAGATGAACCACGATGCATCTCCAGGAGTTGATGCTACAGCAATGAGTATGTGTGAGAGAATGTGGTATATCGGGTTTTGTGTGCAAGTGATGTGGGGGGTGGGGGAATTTCACCGCACTCTTCTGAAGCCCCATGAATAATTCAGTTCTGCAGAGAACTCTTTCTATCGAGGCAAGCTGAGCCAAACAGGGCTGGGTTATCCCAAGGCACTGTTTCCTTGAGCAGGAGCATCATACACAAGGTTAATATGAGAAAATGTCTGAAAGAGCCAAACAACAACAAGACAGCTTGGAGCATGTTTAGCCTATGAGAAATGCAGCCTTCATCCTTTAGGGTAATACCCTACGTCTGGTTTCCAGGTCCCTTGGCCCCCCTCCTAGTTGCTCTGCTCATCTCCCAGGAATCACGCTGCTTTAAATACTCCTCACACCCTTGCATTTGCTTCCTCACTTCTGATTTCCTCTTAGCAGACACTGGGGCTTCTCTATTATTCAGAAGCCACATGCACTGTGAGCTCAGAGGTGTTGTTCACTGCATGACAAAAAAAAATGACTAATACAGCTCCACATTCTTGTAACAAGAACAATCAGATAAAATGTTCTATATAAAGGTGAGATTATTCTGTTGTTATACTCCAAGGCATGTAGGGCTATACAACTTCAGTGACAAACATCAAACAGGACTGCAAACAGTGCATGCACGGTCCATTAGAACAGTGTTTCCCAACCGGGGGTACGCGTACCCCTAGTGGTCCGCGAATGCATGCAAAGGGTACATGAAAATATTTCATATCTTAGGTAGTAAAATAAAATAGGGCTGGGATCTGTTATGCTTTGTGAGGACCCAACTGCCAAAAATAAACAAGCTTTTATGAACCAAAAGTAAGTTTTTCTTTGAGTTCAACTTGAGTTATGAGACACATCAAAACCAAGCAGAGGAACAGATTGGATGTAGAGAACAGCCTGGTATCTGCTGTTTTTTTACACTGAGCTATCGGAGCTCATTAAAGCAGGGGTCTTGATAAAAACAAAGTCAAACTAATTAAGTCAGTCTGATTATAATTTTTGTTCAGTATTTTGTTCCCAATTCATCAAGTTTAAATGTGATTATAGTGTAGTTACTAAGAGGAGCTCCAGTTTTATAAATAAAGGTTAATTACATGATTTTATAAGGTATTTATTTCAATTTTTCACCAACTTCCAGGCAACAAATTTATGTTGTTTTTTTTTGTATTTTTTTTAGATTATAAGTATAAAATGTAGGGATGGAACGGTTTATGAAAACTGTCCAAACCGTTCGGTTCGACTGTCTCGGTTCGGTTCGCGTGTGTTGCGTTCGGTTCATGCGCTGCTCCTTTTTCTCATAGGCGAAGCGTTTACACTCCAGAGCAGAAGGTGGCGGTACTGCGACCAAAGCCAACCACCAGTAGTAAGCAAGAAGAGGAAGCGAAGCAGCTTAGCCAGGTGTAGCAGAAAAAAAAAAAAAATCAGCTGTTGTGGAGAATTGTGTGGGTATGGCGAGTGGGAAAGAAAAGGAGTTGGAAGACGCGCCAGCAGCACTTTATAGGTCTGCTGTATGGGACCACATTGCATTTAGAGTGACCTATGATGACGGCAGAAAGAAAGTTGTGGATAAAAGTTCAACAGTGTGCAAGCATTGTGCAACACGTTTTGTTTATGCTTACAGCAACACGACCAACATGTCATGCTAACCCCGAAATCCCACATAGTCCGTCAGTGCTCCGCTCCAGACCGCCTCCACAAAGCAAAGCCTACAGCCTCCGCTGTGGCTCCCGTCCGCTCCGCTCTGAATTCCTTGGAGATCGTAGAGGGCATGCGCGAGATGATTAAATTCAAAGCAGCAAAACATGCGGAAATGATCCATGGTTTCCGCGGATCATTAAAAATAATTACAATTCATACATTTTTTTGGATATGTTCATTTATTTTTATTAATTTTTTTTATTTTTCGGTGTAACAATAAACATATACCGAACCGAAAACCGTGACCACGACACCGTGAAGCGAACCGAACCATGGATTTTGTGAACCGTTCCACCCCTAATAAAATGCTAATAATTTAATGCTCAAATCAAATCATTTTATAATAAGTTATTGTACGTTCCACTTGATGACAATCACCAATCTTTTTGACTGAGAGGGGTACTCATGCGAAGACAAAATGCCATGAGAAAAAATTATATCGCAATAGCTTAGCAGTAAGTATTCTCTTCATGCAAAAATTGTAGTTACCTTAAGCCATATTTGTTGAAGAATGTTTTGACTAATATTATTCAATGGCTTTTAGACATTGGAACCAGTTTTAGGAGTAAAATTTATTAATTATTTAAAATAATTTTCATTAAACCATCAAAAGCCTGCTCAGGCCTTGATCTCAGATGTTTCATGTTCATTTTAAGTAAAAAGAGAAATTGTCCTCTTTGACCAGTTCTGAAAGCCAGATACTCTTGTTTTATGCAATACTAATCCAACTCTGTAAAGAGCTCTTATCACATTAAGGCAGGGGTCTGCAACCTTTCATATCCAAAGAGCCTTTTTGCCCCAAGTCTGGCCAAGTAAAAGTTGTTTAGAGCCACAAAGAATAACCCTTAAAAAAAAAAAAAAAAAACAGCCTATCATTTTTTTTTTTAATCATCTCGTAAAGTAAATCAGTTGCCATATTATTATAACAACCAACAATCTATGTATTTTTAACTTTTACAATTTACAAAAGAAAAATGTCTCTAAAAAGATTTCTGGTTCTTTTCATGTCATTCCTTTCCATCTTATAAATCCCACTAAAGCGTTAAAGACTGGTATTTATTATAGTACATTATTTAGCTCTTCACACCTGGCTTTAGCCACTATTGTAAGCCACTGTAGAGGGTCTAAAGAGCCACATGTGGCTCTCGAGCCGCAGGTTGCAGATCCCTGCATTAAGGGATGATGAAGGTTAGGGGGGGAATCTGGGGCTATTTATTCTCACCATCTTCCTTTCTTGTTCTGGTTTATTTGTAAATGTTACATTAAAAGATTAAATAATGTACGTTTAATATTGTTCTGAGACTTAAACAGATTAATCACCTTGTTTCACATCAATATAAAAACATTTTGCTGACTAAGCAGAGACCAACAGGAATTAAAAACGAATGAATGGATTCATAGAACAGTTTACAAAGTCAAGTAAACTAGTCTGAGATTATAAAACAAAAATGTGCATTTTAAACACAATATTCTAATGCATTTTAACCGACACATCCAGACGAATAAATGTTTGTGCAAAACCAGAGTTTTAGGCCATAGGGGGATCT